GCAGGCAGAAAAGGAAAACAGAGAAGAATTGGCCTGCCTTATTTCTTAGAACCTTTTTTTTTGTTAGCTTCCATAGCCAGACTGCAGCTTTGAAGCTCACTAAGAGAACCCTGACCATCCCTAGGAAAATGAAAAAGTAGTTCGTGTGTTCTATCTGTATATATGTTGCCCTGAACCTGGCTGCACCACAATATTGCTTTCCACAGGTTTCTGAGCAAGATTTATCATCTTCCTTCAACCCAGCTGCAAATAAGTCATAAGCAGGGATGTAGAGTTTCTGTCCTGAAATATGTTGTGGACTATAACTCCCAGAACCCTGGTGGCAAATAGTTTGGGATGATATGAGTATGTAGGGTGATTAATAGTTTGAGATGTAATCCAAAACTTTGGTATGCCAAAGGTTCCTACACAACACCTTCAAAATGCAGCTGACTAGATATTTCAAGAACCAAACATTATTTGTATTTTATGAGCAGTCCAGATATTGTACAAGGAATGAATCACACGATTGCTTTTTCATTGATAGATATGTCTCCTCCAGCACCACAATTCAAAAGCATCAATTCTTTGGTGGCCAGCCTTCTTTATGGTCCAGCTCTCACTCTTTCATTGATAGATATGTTTTGATGTTACTCATATGTTCTAATGCTATTCATTAAAGTGGTTTCAGAAACCTCAGATACAGGATGACTCAATCAGCCATAAGGTATTCCACAGAGGATATGGTGGCTAAACAACAAAGCTAAAAAGCTGAAAAACAGCATTCTGTTTATAGAACAAAATGAATTCGGGAGGAGGGTGGCAAAGAAATCTACATACTTCACTCCCAATGGCCACATTTATTTCTAGCCAAATCATCCCCATCCCTTCTAAAAAGAGTAGCCCAGTGACCTTCTGAAAAGGTAAGAGAGGCAGCTTTTCTTCAGCAATCCCATATGTAAAGCACTTCTTTTTTAAGTGTATATCTACACTAAACAATTACAGCAATTTGATAGGGGGTTAAACTTTCAGGACTGCATCCTAGGGAACTCTGGAATTTGTAGTTTGTTAAGGTATTTACCATTCTCTGTTGCAGCTGTGGCCCATAGACTGAAGCTTTAGCATACAGACTTCTGGGAATGTTTGTTGTTGTTTAGTCGTTGTGTCCGACTCTTTGTGACCCCATGGACCTCCTGTCTTCCACTGCCTCTTGGAGTTTGGTCAAATTCATGTTGGTAGCTTCGATGACATCGTCCAACCATCTTGTCCTCTGTCGTCCCCTCCTTCTCTTGCCTTCACACTTTCCCAACATCAAGGTCTTTTCCAGGGAGTCTTCTCTTCTCATGAGATGGCCAAAGTATTGGAGCCTCAGCTTCAGGATCTGTCCTTCCAGTGAGCACTCAGGGTTGATTTCCTTCAGAACAGATAGGTTT